TTCTCGTGTGGGCCTGTTGTTGATCAAATTATTATTTTCTTTTTTTTTAGAGACAAGAGTCTCCCTTTGTCACCCTTGTTAGAGTGCTATGGTGTCACAGGTCACAGCAACCTCCAGTTCTTGGGCTTAGGCGATTCTCTTGCCCCAGACTCCCGAGTAGCTGGGACTACAGGTGCCCGCCACAATGCCCAGCTATATTTTTGTTGCAGTTTGACCAGCGCCTGGTTTGAACCCGCCACCCTCAGTATATGGGGCCGGCACCATACTCACTGAGCCACAGGCACCGCCCGATCAAATGATTTTTCAAAAAAGAAAGAATTAAGAGCCATTCTGATAAAAAATACAAAATGAAAACAAAAACAAAACATTATCACAGGTAAATTATTTGAGGATATAACTGTGTATGTGGTTCCTGGTTCTCCTTCCACATATATAATAAGATTATACTTCCCCCTCCTTAACATTAGGTTTAGCCATGTGACTTGCTTTGCTCATATTTATGAAATACGGAAGGTTTGAAAGCCAGCAGTTATTTGCCTCACAAATCACAGACCTTTAAGTGAATGCAAGTCAGAACAAAGCCTCTCACTGACCCTCACTGGGCATGTGGCATGAGTAAGAAATAAATCTTTGCTATTTTAAGATGTTAAGATTTTGGGCTGTGTAAGATGGCTCATGCCTGTATTCCTAGCACTCTGGGAGGCTGAGGCAAGAGGATGGCTTGAGCTCAGGAGTTGGAGACCAGTGTGAGCAAGAGTAAGACTTCTATCTGTATTAAAAATAGAAAAACCAGGCAGTGCCTCTGGCTCAGGGGGTAGGGTGCTGGCCCCATATACCCGGCCCTGGCCAAAACTGCAACAAAAAAATAGCTGGGTGTTCTGACGGACGCCTGTAGTCCTAGCTACTCAGGAGGCTAAAGCAAGAGAATCCTAAGTCCAGGAGTTGGAGATTGCTGTGAGCTGTGATACCACAGCACTCTACTGAGGGCAATAGAGTGAGACTCTGTCTCTA